AAAACATTACCTCCAAGATTGTTTGATCACGTTTTGCAAGTGCAACGTTACAAGATTCAAATCAGGGATTGCGTTGGACCTGTACGCAGTTAATCACTATATTTTAGCTTCCAGTGGGGGGAATTTATGTTTTTGGTTCTCAACTTCATGCGCACTTATCCGGTCGCAAAATATTCACCAGTCATCACAGACAAGGAGTGAAAGTTGGAGAAATCAACCGTGACAATCACTATAGCCCACACTGGCAACATATTGTGTACATTCGCCCCTATATTCATATTTTACCGGTATGTATTGTGCTTCCATAATACTCCGATCATTTTGAAGTGTTTGTTCCAATTACTTCGTTTTCAGGGCGATCTACTTGCAACAACATGTGTATACGAAACTCTTTCTAAAAAGGGCATGACTCTGGTGAGGTTAAAACAATCTTTCTGGTATTTTTTGGATAGAGAGATCATACGTCGAGAAAGAAGTCGCGCGACGCTGTGACAAATGCCAGTTTACGCACAGCTCGTTTCCACTCTTGTAGAATCATGGCAAGAATGGTGCGAAAAAGAGGTGGAATTCATTTCCAAGTAGACCATGATTTTAAAAACTTTGCTTCTTGGAGGTTGCCGTAGGTATCGAAGGAGAGAGTGTTAAGAGGCTGCTATGTTTAATGAATAAACTGATAATTTACGGTCGCATTCCCTGATCTTTTGACGTAGTCTCATCAATTGCACGCAGTCTTCGCGTTGCCGAGAAGTAGAATGGGACTTAGTGTTCCGGAGTTGATTAGAGTGGACTGTGGCCAATACTGCTGCGTCACATCCAGACACATGACTTCGAAGTCCCTCCAATACTACCGTGAAGTCATTCTTCCATGCACATCTGTTTTTGGCTAATCGTGCCACTGTTCTCCTTGAGAGATCCTGGGAATCCTGGTTTATGCAAGGAACGCGGGAACGCTGTTCCGTTCACCAACCACATGTTTTACAAAAAGTCCTTCCGATGTGCTCAAAGAAGGGGAAAACTCAGTCACGATTATTCGGAGCGCTTTGCCTTGTTACCTGGATCGTGAAGAAGCATGATAGTTGCCACTTGAATGCTGCCGCTAGGCAGACTCATCAACTTGCTAGTCGTTGTGTTCTGCTCCACCCCCAAGGGGTTGAGGAAACTGTATGATCTTTATAGAATTTATAGGACCAATAGTACCTCATAATCCTCACAAAAGATTAAAAGCAAACACAAAAAACACACAGAACTGCCGTTTGCAAAAGCTCCAGAGTACACCCAGGGGTAGAAACGTTCGAGATGTTTTTCTGGTTTTTTTTTTTCTAGAGCAATGTAATGGAAGTGTCACTGGACATTTTTCTTTCCAACGAAAGGATGCGAATTTTTCGAAATTGTGAGTGTGGAAAGTGTGATGCAAGCGTGGCACTGTGTGTCTGCATTGCCAAACCAAAACATGCTACAAAGCAAAAAGAAAGAATCAAACAAACACTCACTTTCTTATCTAATTTATACAATTTCAGTGGTGAAGGGAAGGACCGGAGCTTGAAATCGCTTCCTGAAGGCGGAGGGAAGCGGAAAACGAGAAAAAGCTTTGACATTCCATTTTGCTCGCTTGGGGAACGCATGCAATAATCAAGTGAATCCAAGAACTCTATCCATTAGCTTGACATATCCGTCTATAAACTTACTAAAACGAAATGGCAGCAGAATAGTCATTATTTCTCCTCTTTGACCTTCAACTGAAACGAATTCTAGTCGTTGCTGGAGATAACACTCTTCACTTCATTTTCGACAACTGGTGCCCGGCAAACACGGTAGGAGGAAGACCACACTCTTCAGCGTGGAGAACTGTTGTTCCCGTGTTACCTGTGGTGCCAGATTTTTTCAAAAAGTTTCCCATCACTTCTGTGATTTTTCTTTCGAATTTTCCTCTCTCTCCTCTCCTCTCTCTCGACCAGAGAGAAAAGACACCATTATTATCCACATCGTATTGAGGCAGCGACAGGCCATCTGTTGGAGAACACACCCACGAAAAATCGCAAAGTATCTGTTTAAATGCTGGGACGTCACACAGAGGTGGGGCGCACAGCCCTCGCAAGAGTTTTATGGTCAGTATGCAAAGGCTGCACGTGGATGAACTACCTCGGTCAGAGAAGCTACATTGAGATGGACCTTGAGCGCGAGTTTGCTTACCGGGAAGTCCCGAGAGGTTGACGACCCAGGGCAAATCGCTGTTGAGGTTTCCTCACGGGGACGTGAGGTCGTATTCTATAAAAACTAACGGTGGAGCATGGTCGATCGCAGTACGCGACTTGCAAACAGGGCACATCGTTGTTGGTGATTCAGGGGAGGGGGTGGGGGGGGGGGTCGTAATCGCTCTCTAGGAGAGAGGGATGTTCCTTATGAATTTTTTTGATGGTCGAATTTTCTTGTTCCAAGGACGCCATAGAGGGGGATCGTATCTGCTTATCTATTCGTTGTTGGGAGAGGAGAGGTCGTATCTTCCTCCCAAACTTTGAGGGTGGGAGAGGTTGCTGCCTTTTTTAGGGGTTCGTACCATACGCCTAAAAAAAGAGGGGTCGTGCGAAAGCGACCAAAATCCCCAACTAATGATGTGCCTTGTGCCGACCTCATGAGTAGCGGGAATATCGACGTCCTGTGCTTTCAGGAAATGCGCTGGAAAGGAGCGAAGGGCGCTAGAATGGGGAAGGGATCTAACTCTCTGGAATAGACACAAAAGGGTACGCCATACGCTAGCAGAATCCCTCAAGGACTGTGTCCCCTCTGTGAGCATGATCGTGATGTGATTATGGGAGTGAGAATAGACACGAAGAAGGAGTTCTGGACAGAACTCACTGTGTACGTAACGCAATCCGGCTGCTCTTAGCTGGAAGAGAGTGAGTTCTACCTGATCCTGGACAAGGCCATAAGATCGGTTCCGGGATATGACTATCTTACCACAGCTGGTGATCTGAATGACTATGTGGAAAGCGTCAGAAGGGACCTAGATAGGGTGCGCGGAGGCCGAGGAATAGAAGGAAGGACGCTCAGTGAGAACGGATACTTGACCTAAGCGCAGCCCACGGCTTTGCAATTTCAGCACCTTCTTCGCGAAAAAAGGACTCGGACGATAAGTACAGCAATGGAGGGAGGCAAACGAAAATCGATCGTGTACTGGTGCGAAGATCGTCCCTCGAAACTGTTGAGGATATCAAAGTACTGCCTGGGGAAAAGCTGGACCCTCAGCTTAGGCCTCTTCTGGCAAACATCGCCATTTCCAAGAAAGCGGGGTGATGAATCGAGAGAAGTACTCGGTGGTGGAAAATCCACAGGTGAAAAAGGATAGCTTCGGCCGAGGAATACTGGGAGCTGAACTCCTAGATACACACGGGCTAGTCTAGGAGACCTGAATCAACTTAGCAGAGATCGTCCACAGTGTGCGACGGAAGTACTGGGAGAGTCGCGAGGTGGGACCAGAGGAGATGAGGCAACGTGGTTCTGGAACGAGGAAATCCAGGAAATCGTTATCGTTGAGCAGAAGAAGGAAGCATACAAGCGCTGCCAATAGACGAGGAGCCCAGAAGACCATGCTGCCTACAGCGCTGGAAGCGACTTGCTAAGGAAGCTAAAATTAGGAAAGGGATGCCCTATACGAGAAGTTGGAGGGCCGAGGGGAGACAAGCTCGTCCTTCGCTTGGCTGAAGCCCCTTATCGCGCTGCTCAGGACATCAGGGTAGTGAAAACTGTGGAGAACGGTGTCATTCTCAGGAAACCAGCCGAACCCAGAAAGAGATGGGAAGGAGACCGAGGGTTTCCTGAACGAAGAATTCCATGGTAAAGACAGCCCTATAGATAGAGATAGAGGCGACGGCAGGTCCTGTCAACCCTGAGCATGAGCTACGCCAAGAAATAGAAACAGTGAAGGTCGGAAAGGCATGGGTTTAGACGGGGTTCCGATAAAAGCATGGAAGGCCCTCGGAGAGCATGGGACAAGTTGGCTCGCACATTTTCTAAAGAATGTAGCGGCTGAAGGAAGGTTCCCGGATCAGAAGCGTGGAGAGCAGCACAATGGGCCCCATCTTCAAACAGAGTGGGGACGCGACAGAGTGCTCTAACTACCGCGGCATCAAGTTCACTCCACACACCATGAAAATGTACTAGGGGCTAGCCAACACTAGCATAAGGGAGCGTCTCTCCATCTATCTTGAGGGAGCAGTGAGCAGTTCGAACTCCACACTCAACTGAACGACTATCTCTGAATGCTCTAGCTATGTGTACCTGGGCCGTGAAGTCAATACGATAGATGAATTAGCACCAGAGCCGAGCAGGAGGAAGCGAGCGGCTTGGAGAGCCTCCAAGATCGTCGAGGGACCGCGGTCCTTCCTGCCTTGACTTATGCCTCAGAGACTTGGACTCTACGAAAGCAGGATTTTCATGCGGTTGGCGTTATTCAACGCGCATCGAAAGGGCGATGCTGGATTTCCCCGCTACACGCCAGTGAGAGAGAGAGAGGAAATCCGGAGCTCCACACTCCACCGTCGATCGAAGATCAGAGATGCAGCCGCATTTGCCAAGGTTTGATCAGATGGACCGAACACGTCATGCATTCTGAAGACGACCGCTGGGCCAGAGCGATCACCGACTGGATTCCACGGGATATCAAGCGAACACCCGGACGATTACCTGCGCGATGGTTCGACTTTTTTGTGAAAACTCTAAACGAATCCTTGACGGTCATGTCCTTCCAACAGAGAGATCCCGTGGGGCAACTCTTGCACGTTACAGGGACGAATGGAGACGTTACAGGCGCCCGCTCGAGGTACTCGCTTATCAAGGGAGCAGAGGTGATACAGGTGAAAGCTTGCACCTTTTATGAAAGTTAATTTCAAGAGTTATTTAACTTAATTGCATAAATGTCAAGGTCAAAAAATTGTAAGACGATCACGCAGCACTTCATAGCCTAGAGAAAGTGAGCGAAAGTGCGCAGAGGTTCGGTGAATGAGATGACGGAGGCATATTCGCAATGGGTGCAGCAGGTTAGCGGTGGTAAATTCGAAAATTTCCAAATCGATTCCAGGAAGTCTCAGAAAAAAAAGAACTGGAACACGCGCGGAGGAAATCAACCGGAAGTCGAGCACTTCACTCACTTCCTATCGATCGCTACCGATATCAACTATCGGTTTTTTGCGAAGTGTGGTGAACGAATAGTAAGCTACACGATTGAAAGAGTAATGCACAGAACTGAATGATACCGTAATAGTTGCAATTACCGATTTAGGGCTGAGAACAGGGGTGGACTTTCAACGGCATCATGTGGGCAAGTAGTTTCGCGGAAGTTGAATTTCTAAGCAATCGCAGGTAATTTTGTGCGAGTGCTAATCTACTTCTCGAATGACACTGCTGTTCCGAATCTGCTATCGTCATAGCATATATGCAGATATTTGAGCTTTTAAGTGTATGTGACCTGAAACTGAGTTTGAGCTCGTGAGCAGGGTCATGCATCCGTCGCGGAATTGGCGACGGAGAGCGGTCGTATTCAGCGCTCCGGGAGTGGGGTCGTATTTGTAGAGATCCGTATCGAACACAGCAGCGACGTAGCTTGCATGATGGCTCTGTTCGAAGAGGAAGTTGAGTGTGCATTCCATAGTGGAGTTTATAAGCGCCTCTCTGCTGCAGTCCATGCTCGCGTGAAGGTATACGGAAGACCTACAGAGCTTTCGGAATGATAATGTAGGCCTATTAGGGAGGGGTAGATCTTTATTTTGCAGCTGAAGCTGACTTTCAGAGCGAAATCCGCAACACATGATTTTTCACTGTAGCTAAGCACGAGCAAAGATGCTGGACTTACCGGAAAGAGAAACCTCATAGGCTTTGCAGCCTTACTATTTCCGAAACCCAGCAAGTTCTCTTCCCGCATGTGAAAAGCTCGTTTTTGCCAGAAACTCTCCCCACATTGTGGTCATCAATCAGGACGGGAGAATTTAATTTTGGTTATAGGCAAGCTATAGCAAAGGAACCATCGAATGAACGAACTTTCTAGTTTTGAAAACCATGTAAGTCTCATTCTACTAAATGTGTGAACAAAGCTATTTCTATCGGAAGGCGAAAATTTCACGCTCGCTAAAAAGCTTTCGCATATTTTTTGATCAAAAGCCGTCATACAAGCCTTATGAAAGGTATACTGTGTCACGTATGGACTTTGCCCACAGAACAACATGAACCGTACTTAGCGCTCTGCGAAAGATAGTTCCTGAATGACGTCGTACCCTCCTGAAAAGTGCTATGTGAATGCAACCAGCCCATACCGGCATAATCTCATACGCGACGCAGCCGCAACTCGCTCGATGCCTCGGCTTTGTGTTATTTTGACAAACGACGTCATTGCAATGTTTTTTCAAAGTTTCGCTTAATGCATTATACTGCTTCAGTGTAGCTAAATTCTTCAATTTTTAGTGCTCTTGTTTGATTGGTTCAGTAAATGTTTCAGATGATTATTCGGTAAAATCATCGATCATATGAGTAATACACGCAGCATCGAAACATAACAGCTCCATCTTGATGAACACAGTAGATACCTCCCACGGCGCCGGGATCCTAGGGGATTCTTTGATAGGGGCGGGGTGTGTTTGATCGTTGAGGTATGGGGTCGTAATGAGGAGGGCAGACAGTGTCGAACAGCACAAAGGTGTCAGTGCCGCTGGCCCTGAGGCGGAACTTGCTCACCAGAAAAGGTCAACAAGTCGCCATGGCCATTCAGGATGGGATGCTTGGCGTGTTGGTCTCGGGGCACTGAACTCAAATTTGCTTTCAGAATTTGCGGAACAATTCTCTAGGAGGAGTTAGGGTGGCGGGCAATTTCCCAGCACAGTACCCGCCGAATACTCTAGCTAGGGAGGTCGTTCAGGACGTGGAGCGCTTTTTGAAAACGGTTTTTTGCATGATGTGGGGTCACGTGCATGGAGTACCAAACTGGTGTTCATTTTTCCTGAACGCCTCTGGGAATGCCAAAAATGGAGTGGTCCTTATAAAGGTTGTACTGGTATCGATGAAAAGTAGTCACCAATGGGGTCTCATTTGTGGCACGTAGTTAAGAGTCGACGGCTAGTTGGAATGGGCTCTTAAGCAAGCGAAATGCGCCAACGATCGGATGGCCTAGTGGATAGCGTGGAGGATTCTCAAGCAGACGGTGGGGATGGGGGATGATGGTTCGACTCCCCTCGGCTTGCACGTTTTTGCATTTTTTATTTTCCGTTGTTGTCGCTTCCATATACATCTGTTAATGAATTTTACTCGGGTATCTGTCATTTATAGGCACATCCTAAATAGTTATACCCCGTAGTCGGTGCTATTCAGCAATCCCGATTTCACATACCATTAAGCAAGAATTTTTCTGGAAGTTGAGCTTTACATGTTATTCGGTGCCCTGATCACGACTATGGCATTTACTTTCAGCTCTAGTGCCATTTATCTCCAATTTAGAGCCACGTCTTTCTCCCACTGGAGTCGCTATGCACATTCGTTTGAGGGACTTGCAGGGCCATTCTGACGCCAGATTGGGTTGACGTCAAGAATAAGTGTCAGAATCGTGATGAGAACCATCGATTACCCCTATAGGCAAACCTTCAGCCAGAAAATTTTTTTGACTTTTTTGAGTTGTGATAGACCGACCATTTGGTCGACAGTGATGACCGGAGACCCACAACTTTGGAGCTGCGATGACGTAGCGATGACGTGGTGGGCCGCCGGGCAGCCGTATCGCGGATTTGGTGCTCATAAGGTCCATTCATACTTGGCATGGGCATGGGCGGCCGCAGAACAAGTGAAAAACCATCCTGGACATGTCGACCTCCCGCGACGGCTCGCTCAACGAAGATGTCGTCCTCCCCTACCGAGAGGAGAGACTCATTCGATTTCCTTCACTTTTTCAAGTGCACCTGAAGGAATGATGACTATTTTGTTCTTTTTTCGATGGCTTTATGGTTGTTGCTAGTTTATTGTCTCCGTACCACTGAATGAGGGTTTCGATAACCAGCAAAAGTACGACTTCAACAAAGTGACTCTTGTGCATAACCCAATGCACAGACTCAAAAAAGTCAAAAAAATTTTTTGGCTGAAAATTTGCCTATAGGGGTAATCGATGGTCCTGATCACGATCCTGACACTTATTCTTGACGTCAACCCAATCTGGCGTCAGAATGGCCCTGCAAGTCCCTCAAACGAATGTACATAGCGACTCCAGTCTGAGAAAGACGTGGCTCTAAATTGGAGATAAATGGCACTAGAGCTGAAAGTAAATGCCATAGTCGTGATCAGGGCACCGAATAACATAAGCTCAGCTTTCAGACAAGTTCTTGCTTAATGGTATGTGAAATCGGGATTGCTGAATAGCACCGACTACGGGGTATAACTATTTAGGATGTGCCTATAAATGGCAGATACCCGAGTAAAATTCGTTAACAGACGTATATGGAAGCGACAACAACGGAAAATAAAAAATGCAAAATCGTGCAAGCTGAGGGGAGCCGAACCATCATCCCCCATCCTCAACGTCTGCTTGAGAATCCTCCACGCTATCCACTAGGCCATCCGATCGTTGGCGCAGTTACCATTTCGATTGCTTAAGAGCCCATTCCAACTAGCCCTCGACTCTTAACTACGTGCCACAAGTCAAGACCCCATTGGCGACTACTTTTCTCATCGATACCAGTACAACCTTCATAAGGACCCTATAGGCAGTAACTGGCCGAAGTTGCGAGTGATTTAGACCCCATTCCCGCTCAAAAACAGTCGGTTTCCGTGCACTTTTTTTTCACTCAATTTTTGGCATTCCCAGAGGCGTTCAGGAAAAATGAATATCAGTTTGGTCCTCCATGCCCTTGACCTCACATCATGCAAAAAAAAACCTTTTCAAAAAGCGCTCCACGTCCTGAACGGCCTCCCTAGTAAGAGTATTCGACAGGTACTGTGCTGGGACCCCCCTCCCCTCTAACTCCTCCTAGAGAATGGTGTTAGCTCAGGTTGAGTTCAAAAGTCAGCAGCGATAGTGCAGTGGATAGGTGAGTTGCTTCGTGGATGCAAGGTCTGGGGTTCGATTCCTCGGCAGGCCCAGACTTTTGCTTTTTCCGAAGCATCTTCTGTGAGTCCGGGAACAATGTCTATTTCATTATGTTTCGAGTCTGCTCTAATTTGTAGTAGAAAAAGAGTCAGATGCCACCCCCCCCCCCATCAGTTGTGCTTCAATGTCGAGACCTCTTGGAAAATCAGCTGGTATTCAGATGGTACATGAACAAGTCAAACTACAACTACTGAAGAGCACATGTTGTGATCCTCCAGAAATGGTTAAGCAAGAGAGCTTCTCAAAGTGAGCACAAAGAATGATGAAAAATTCCCCTTAATTGGTGTAGTCACATCAATTCAGAAGGAATCGGTAATGCACCGGTGATACAAATTCACGGGGTTTGCATCAAAGTATCCCGCTACATACAGGAGCAGGACGAAAAAAATCCTAAATCGAGGAGAGCAAAGCTGAAAATAATAGAGGGAGAGAAGAAAGATAGAGTCCTGACTGCGTATAAAGAAATTGATATCGGGAGGTACTACGAAGGAAATGAAACGTCTATAGATCGACTCAAACAGTAGGAAGGAGTAAATTTCCAAATGAGTAAAGCTCCAAAGATTGAGTCAATCTGTAGCAACTGGTGGTTGTTGAGGACTTCTAAACGCTTTTTAGATGACCTAGCCAATTGAATAAGGTTGTAATCTTCGAAATAGTTCCACGAATCAACTATCGCAGGTGTTGACTGTATAGGTAAGGCAGGCTTACGTCCAACATAAGATGCTTACATATGAGTTTTATCCGCACGAAATACCAGGCTAAAAGCTCGGAAATGACCTTTGAAGGAGAACAGTTCGTGTTGAAATGTTAATTAGAAGTGACCGAACTAATTCTCCATCGAAGAAAAACGGGCCTGAAAGCACACCACATGTGCGCTTTAGTAGCTGAAATTTGACTTGTTCATGTACCATCTGAAAACCAGCTAATTTTTCAAGAAGTCTCGACATCGAAGCACAACTGATGGGGGGGCTGGCATTTGACTCTTTTTCTACTACAAATGAGAGCAGACTCGAAAAATAAAGAAATAGACCTTGTTTCCGGAATCACAGAAGATGCTTCGGAAAAAGCAAAACTCCGATCCTGCAGAGGAATCGAACCCCTGATCCCGCATCTATGAAGCACCTTACCTATCCACTACACCATCGACCGCTTATCACCACTGACATTCGAACTCCAACTTCTGAAACAAGTTTTGAGTTCAGTGTCCCGAGCCCACGCCAATATGCATCCCATCCTCAATGGCCATGGCCACCTGTTGACCTTTCCTGGTTAGTAGAGAGGCCGGAGTATAAAAAACACTAGCAAAGGCTTCAAGTGATTAACTAACAGCAATCACAAATCAAATTAAATGAGCGCGTAGGTGGGTCATAGACATTTCTGAAGCCTATGAATACATTTGTTCGCCTAGACAGACTTTACGTAGAAGTTGCACCATCTCACTACCTCTAAGTGGGAACCTAGTGAATGATGAATTCAGAAGTTAAATCAGTGGGTGCTTAACAGCCATGGTCACTTGTGGTCCACGAAGGGGTATGTTACAGATGCATCTTGTGTATTAACTCAAGCTCATTTGAAATGGCACACCGGGAACGGATTTTATCGCGCAGCTCGAGCTTTTTTTCACTCAATCCTCAAGGGGCGAGTATCTCATGAACACCGGGAAACAATATCCCTTCATTTCCCACAAACTGCTTTCATTTGTCGAGCAGTCGAGTTGAATGAAAATTACCTCCACTCAAAGCAAAAATTCGCATCTAATTTTCTCTCCCTAACGAATCCCTACTGATCATCGCCCTGAAACAGGCAAAATTTGAAAGCATTCTAGTATTCTTCTGAGAATTCCAGTCTAATTCTCTCAGAATAGTGTTTTCTTTCCCCAACGCTTCTTGGAGGAAGTTATAGCTCTTCGAACGATCCTGCTATACTTAAGGGGATCCCAGCAAATGTGCTCCAACGCAAATAAAGAACGTGCTCATTCAGTGGGTCTACGGACAACCTGAACTCAATTTTCTCGAACGCGTCGCATTTGGAACTTGTGTTATTCTCTGCTCTCTCTCTCTCTCGTCCGCGTGACACTCTATCATCCGGTCATTGTGACTTGGTGCATCCAGCTTTTCTGGTTTGATAAGTGGCTCAACCACCCCGTAGTCCCCTCCCTTTGAAAAAGTTCGTTTCCGGGCTCGCCATGGTTTCCTGCTCCCCCCTCCCCCTCCCCCAAGACGGGAGGTCGAACCACTTAACCAAGTTTCCCAACGCATGATGTGCCTTGAATACCGGCACACACTTCACACTCCATAAGCGGGGAGTCAAACGAACACCCCCTTTCCCTTTTATTTTAGGCGGGGGTAGGGATCGCACCAGTAGGCGAGCTTGGTTCGGCTTCACAAATGTCCCTAGAACCGACTAGCGGACCAGGGAATGCCTTCCATCCCTAAGCGATCTGCGAAAGCGCGCTACCAAGAGAAAGAGTCATGGAGGATACTTGCGCTATCGTACGTTGAATCTTAGCACGTCTTTTCTTTTATCTTCGTCATGTAATAGGTTATTGTTCAGGGAGGATATGCTATTGAAGAGGAAATGTGTGTTAACTACTTATATTATTTTCCTGCATCCGAAGTGGAAGTGTGTAAATCGGCAGTGGATAACGAGACTTTAAACAGCTACTTCGAGAACGTGTGAGTTTTTGACTGTAAGGCTCTCAAAGGAGAATTGCCCCATTTTTTGGAGTATACGGTGAATCCATATATAAAGCGCACGAGGCAGGGATAGCCGAGTGTAGACTCATGTTCGCTCTCTGAGCCACGAGTTCGGTCCCTGCCGAGACCAAATCATGCCTTGCAAAAATTCCAAAAATGGGGACGATACCAGCGTCAGGCCCAGGTTGAAAAGCCGGCTGATGGAGGAACCCGTCACAACAATCATGACAAAGTATCAGTGTTAAAGCTAAGACGTCACCCGGATGTGGCGCGCAGAACCCTCGCCTGTGGTCAGTATACGGGGGCTACCGGGGTGAACGACCTCGGTAAAAGAATCTAGTTCGAATTAGGACCTTGAACGTGGGGTCGCTTACCGGGAAGTCTTGTGAAGTTGCCGGCCTCATGAGACGCAGAAACATCCAAGTCCTATGCCTTCAGGAAACGCTATGGAAGGGTGCGAAGGAGAAATTGGAGAAGGTGTCAAACTCTTCTACAATGGAGGAGACACCAAACGGAATGGATGGCCAGCGGTGGCAGAATCCCTCAAGGACTGCGTCTATTCTGCGATTAGGATCAGTGATTATGAGGGATCATGAGAATGGACACGAACGACGGGTACTGGACAGCACTGACCGTGTACGCACCACCATCCAGTTGCCCCGATGCGGAAAAGGATGAGTTCTACTGACCCTGGACGGGCTATAAGATCGGTTCCGGAACAAGACTATGTCTCCATAGCTAGGGATCTGAATGGCCATGTGGGAAGTGACAGGAGGGGTCTAGAAAGGGTGCACGGAGGTCAAGGAGTAGGTGCAACTAAAGCTGAAGCAGAACGGATCCTTGACCTAGCTACAGCCCACGACTTAGCAATCTGCAGCACATTCTTCGCGGAAAGGAAGACTCAGAAGATAACCCACAGCTGTGGAGGGAGACAAACAAAAATCGACCATGTTCTGATGAGAAGGTCGTCTCTCAAAACCGTCAAGAATATCAAGGTAATGCCTGGGGAAAAGCTAGGCCCTCAACACAGGCCTCTCCTGGCAGACATCGCCATAGACCTCCTCAAGAGAACGAGGGTAAGAACACAGCCGAGAATTCGAATCGAAGAATACTGGAGGTAGGGCTGCCAGACCCAAATGGGAAAGTTCAGGACACCTGGACCTACGCAGTAGAGGTCATCCTACAGTGTGCAGAGGAAGTCATGGGAGAGAGGCGAGGTGGTAACAGAGAAGACAAGGCAGCCTACCCTGGAACGAGGAAGTCCAGGGGATCGTCGAGCAGAAGAAGGAAACATACAAACGCTGGCAGAAGACAATGAGCTCAGAAGACTTGGCTGCTTACAAGAGCTGCAAGCGACTCGCTAAGGCAGCCGTTGCTAAGGCCAAGAATACGGAAATGGACACCGTGTACGAGAAGCTAGAGGGTCGAGAAGGGACAAGTTTGTCTTCCGCCTGGCTAAAGCTCGGCATCTCTGCCCAGCTCAGAACAACAGGGTCGTGAAGACTGTGAAGAGCGGGGCCATTCTCAGGAAACCAGCCGAAGTCAGAAAGAGGTGGGAAGAGTACTTCGAGGGACTCCTGAACGATGAGTTGACCCGCAAGGATAGCCCACAGATAGTGGCGACGGCAGGTCCCTTCACTCCCTGGACGAAGGATTAAGTCCGCCGGGAGCTAGGGTTGGGAAAGCAGTGGGTCCAGACGGGGTACCGATATAGGCGTGGAAGGCCCTTGGAGAGCATGGGGTGAGTTAGCTCACAAATTTCCTAAACAACGTAACGGCTAAAGGAAGTATGCCGAATGTGTGTAGGAGCAGCACAATCGTCCCCATATTAAGAAAAAGGTGGCGCGACGGGGTGCCCCAACTACCGCGGCATCAAGTTAACTCCCCATACCATGAGGAGCGCATGGTCAACACACGGCTGAGGGTACCTGTCCTTATCCCACAGGAACAGTTCGGCTACATGCCCGAAAGGTTCACCACTGATGCCATCTTCATCGCCAGACAGCTGATGGTGAAGTAGCGGGAGAAGCGGCGACCCTGCTACCTAGCCTTCCTGGACATTAAGAAGGCATTAGACCGCCTGCCTCGGCCTGTACTCTGGAGAACGCTCAGAGAACGTAACGTTTCGGAGCACCTTGTTTTCATAGTGAAGGACGTGTACGATGGAGCTGAAGCTGCCTTAGGCACCCATCACGGCAAAGGAGGTAAACATTACGGTTGCGGTACACCAAGGATCGCCCTCAGCCCGTTCCTCTTCCTCCTGAATCTGGATGTCGGGCAGAAGAACTCATGGAGGGGCCGCTCAAAACCATTCTCTACGCTGACGCATCGCCCTGGTAGCGGACAGCAGGGAAGAACTACAGGACAGGGTGCAGCGATGGCAGGTTGTTTTCGCTGAGAATGGACTCCTGCTGAACGTAAAGAAGACGAAGTTTCTGGGTTCCAAAGGGTGTACCAAACCGATCGTAGACCGCCATGGGGAAAGCATCGAAAGGGTCGAGGATTTCCAGTACCTGGGGAGCGACCTAGCAGCGGATGGCAGCGTAGATTAGGCGGTGAAGGATCGAATCAACACAGTTGGATGAAATGGAGGGAGTCCACTATCCTGTGCGACCGGCGGTGCTCAAGAACGCTCGAGGGCAAGGTGTACCAGGCGATGGTAAGGCCGACAATGCTCTAGCAAAGAGTGCTGGGCTATCTGCAAGAACCATGGAAGGCAGCTTCTCTCAACTAGACTGAGGACGCTGAGATGAGCCTGTTGGGCCGGTTGGACATCGACAGGGTCAGAAACGAGGACGTCAGGGCGGTCACACAGACGGCCCGATCCAGCTGAAGGCACGAGAGCAGCGACTGCAATTGTATGGGCACGTACTTAGGAGGCCTGAAGACCACAAAATAAGGAAGGCATTGGAGCAGAGAGCAAGCGACCACGAGGAGCCCCAAAGAAAAGATGGAGGGACGTCATCAAGAAGGACCTCACTGGAGTGAAAGCCATGGCAGAAGATGCAGCGGATCGGAACAAGTGGCGACGTCTAACAAGAACAGGACGGTGCGACGGCGCGGGACAAACACTAGTGAGAAGAAGATATATGAAGTGCACGTTTGCTTCAAACACTGCGGATGCTCCTTTCTATCTTTAATTGTGCGCGTTTTTTGTCTGTTTCTGTCATATTAAAGTTCGATGCGACCGGTAATCCCGGGAGTACACGTACAAACTCCTCTTCCGGCGAATCGTGTGCTCTCGTGGATACACCTCTCCGCTCGTTTTTGGTGATTTTTTTTCCTGCTTTTACTTGCAGGAGACAAAATAATACAAACTATAGAGGAGTAACAATATTACATTCCATTGGAGTGTACTCCCGGAATAACAGGCAAAAATATTTCTTTGGGCGAATCATGAGCTGTTAGGAGTACGCGCACCTTTTTGCTTGTTTCTTGTCATTAATCCCGTTTTTACTAGGAACTGTATGCAAATAGTATTTGAATATATTATCCACCAACATTTATTGTGTGTTTTCTGGAAGAAGTTGATTCTGATGAGGAAGTTCGGATGACTACGCCATCCGAATGAGCTTCCTCACACCACTTTCAGAAGTAAAAAGTGGGGACATTCTGAGTAAAACGGGGGACAACGCCCAATTCCAGTCGACCTGGAAAAGTACAAAATATTTTGCCCACCAAAAGATTGCATGAAAACTTTGTGAAGGGAGAAACGTTTTAAAAATGCCGAAAAAAATCGACACAGTGAGGCACTGCCGGAATCGCCAGCGGAAGATTTCAGCGTTCGTCCCTCACCGCGATCGCGCCGCTCGACAAGCGGGAGTTTCTGACAAAACGGCGTTGCCGTGAACGTGTAGTGTAGTAGGAACACCCCGGTTGCCCATCGCTTCGATAACCGCTCCTCTCTCTGAAGAGTCGTCGGTTCTCTTTGAGTTGATGAGCGTGAGGTATCCCGCCACCTCATACTCCTTCAATACTCCAGAGAATCTGCTTATCGCTCGAGTGTGAATCGTAAGTGTGGATCGTGCTGAATGTCCTAGTACTAGCACGCCGTCTTCCGTTCACGTTCAGTGTTCTGTCGATTACAGACAGCAGGCGGTTGCGATGATTACCAGGTTGTGCAAGCCTCGTTCCTTGTATAGTAACACAGTACTGCTGGTTGTCCGCGAAGCAGAACTTCACATTCCGACAGGTAGCATGTGAAGAGTTAAGTAAGAGTTTTGACGAGAACTGGCGGAAGGCCCTTCAAATGTTCGGGTCTGATCGTGTGGGACTGGCTTTCGCTGATCACATGACGTGTCGGGCTTTGGAAGTAATATCAGAACACAATACAATTAGCGAAGTATCCGTGGATGTTGCGGGTGTTTCTCCCCTTTATCTGTCTCAACCAGTACTGCTGCTGTGCTCTCCATGAAATGTATTTTTCTCTTTTCTGCATAGCCTCGCAAGCTCGGACATTACCTGGTACTTGCTACTGGTTCGTGCTGCCCACGTAGGCTAATGAGATCGAAAGCTTCTTCTGCTGGACGAGGGCTTTTATAGATAGTGATCTGTGCAACTGTCTGCCTTTTCGACGCAGTCATAAAAATATGTGACAAGCCGTCCATATTCTCGTCAATGTGGTCATGTGTGACTGTTCGCTGGAAGCAGCTGGGAATAAGGGTAAAGGTAAAAATTGATGGAATGTGCCTAATATTCCTAAAAACATAGTTGTTTCTTTAAGTTGTAATCTGCCAAAGAGGTTGGTAGGTGGAGGACTTTATTATAAATGGCCTGACGTTTCGACAGGATCGTCGTCCTCAGAGGCCTAAACATAGCTCAAGGTTTGGATGTTGTATCCACTAGACCGCCAAACGCCTCGCCTCCCTAGCCTTTTTGGCAGAATCCTATAAGAACTACCAAGAAAAATCGGAGTGTGAGAAACGAACTTAGCAGTCCACCACCACATGAGCGGAACGATGCCACTCGCTGTCAGTTGTTAGT